GATCAGGTGCCCCTGATCAAACCTATATCAGCACAGGTTTAAAAGGAAGTTTTGGATATCTCGATCCTGAGTACTTTAGGTGACTGCAATTAACTCAGAAATCGGATGTGTACTCTTTCGAGGTGGTTCTGCTTGAAGTTTTTTGTGCTAGACCAGCCATTAGAAGCTTGCTTCTGCGGGATCAAGTGAACTTGGCTGATTGGGGGATGTCTTGGCAAAAGAAAGGACAGCTCGAAAAAATTGTTGATCCTTTCCTGGAGGACAAAATTAATCCCAATTCACTGAGAAAATTTGGGGAAACAGTGAAGAAGTGTTTGATGGATTGTGGGATTGGCAGGCCCGGAATGATCGATGTGTTGTGGGATCTGGAATATGCACTGCAGCTCAACCAAACCACAGTTCTAAGAGAGCCATATGAAGACAGGACCATAGATGCTTCATTGGAGTTGTCATTGCATGTCGTTAATCGCTTACCGTCTAATAGCATCACCATGGATGAAGATGAATGGACCCTGGGAGCGATTGATGGTTCAGATACAAATTTTTTAAATGCTGGTGTGTTCTCCCAGTTGAAAGTTGATGATGCCAGATAAACTCATGCAGGGCTAGGTACTATTACTTTCTGTTGTTTGTTTCTATTTACATTAAGTGAGATCTTCTGCTTCAATTTGGCGTAGACATTAAAATGGACAAATGACGATAAAAAACAATAATTACTGATTTTTATTTTTACTAGAAAAGATTCTTTCATTAAGTAGTAGAGAAACCATTACAATCATTTGATTTTTTGGTCAATCTTTGAATCTATGATAATGCTATTTGATCAATTGAGCGATTAGGGCAATTTTTTTTTTTGCTTATATCTGCTGTTGAGCTTGAGCAGATTTGGCAATTTGAACATATTTATGAAAGTTGATGTAAGAGCTTTGTAAGCTTGAATCTATATTTTTAATATTGTTGGGATGTTGTTGATGCTAGAAATTTTTAATATTTTATAAGTTGAGTAATGTTAGATGGACTTAAAAATTAGACTTGATAATCTCAACCATTGAATAGGTAGTCGGTCTCAATAAATGTTGAGACCCACAGTGAAATTAATAGTTAAGATTATCAAGTCTAGATTTTAAGTCTATATAACATTGCTTGTTCAAGTTTGATGCTATTTTTCATAATTATTATGAATTTTAGCTTATTTATAATTATTTTTTATTATTAATTATATTACCGATTAGATTAGTGACCCAACGGTTAACCCAATGAGTAGTGACCCATTGATCCGCTTTTTTCGCTGGGTTGATTTCCGGCCGGGTTTTAAAACTATGGGTAGAAGTATCAGATGAAGGGAATAGGATTGAGAATATTGGGGGATTCACAGAACGAAGGCTTTGGGGAAGAAATAGGGGACCGAAAGTGGCTTTAGGAAATTAAAGGTAAGAACAGGATTGGAAAAGGGCACTGGCTATATAGGAGAAGAAAAGATGGGGAGTTAATGAGGGAGACGGAGCTTTTGAAAAAGAGAGGGTGACAAGTACCTGGCAAAATTCATAGAGGTTTCCATTACAGGGATTTTCCAAGGGGCTATAGAACTGTGAATAGGGGTGCTAACCAGACAGGATGGACGATTGTAACGGTGAGAAAATAGACAAGGAGAGGAATAGAGATAGGCTCTTGGAGATTAAGAGACCTTGAAAAACAGAATCGGCATTGAAGCAATCGAAAAATGCAATGAACTTAGAAAATAACTCGGGGGTATGGCTCCATAGGGGAGTGCGAAGGGCTCTCCCGTGATTCAAGGTCATTTGAGGTTTAAAGTGAAAACAAGAAATGAAGAACTTTTTTATTTTGAACATTAATTTTTTCAAAAAATTAATTTATTTTGTGAGAGAGAGACAGAAGAAGGATGTGTTAGTGTTAGTGTTATTGAGAAAAAAATATTTTAACTTTTATTTTTATTTTTTTTTTACTAGAGAAAGAGTTTAATTTTAATTTTTTTTTTTATGTTTCACTTTAGTGCAAACTAGAAGGACCGGAACTGTTGGATATTATACGAACTCCATTGTATACAACTTATAACTGAAACGACAATAAATTTAATAATTTTTGAAATAAATCCAAGAGAAATCACATGCAAAGAAGTATATTAGATAAATACTTATATTTCACCTTCATAACTTAAACTTATGTATCTCTCTTAATAAGGTGTTTGTCCACTACATAATCCATTAAAGACAAGATTTTTATTTCTAACTCCGGCAAGATTTTGTTAGCCACACAATTGAAGATCTTATACAGATTAGATATCTATCATAAATTTGTGGGTGTGAAGGTGACACAAAGTAGACATCTTCAATGTTCCTAATCACATGCTAGTACGGCTGGGGTATGGAAGGATAATGATATGTTTATCAAATTTTTTTTACTAAATCTCTATCTTAAATGACATGACAGAGTAGAGTTTTTCATTATCAGATAAATCAGTCTTGGCAATATTCAATAATAAAAATTATGCTACATCATTTGAAATTAAATATTTAATAAAAAAATTTAGTAAACATAAGTGCATGATAATAGCTTTTTGAGGAAGCGCACAGGTCACGTTGCTGATAATTGATGGAGCAATTAATTGATGGGGTCAGATGCACTTTTCAGGTCCCAACGCGGGTGATTCTCTGGCTCAGACTTTTGGTTCCATGTTAACTTAGTTAGTAATCGACTCACGAAATTTTTATGAAATATATTATTGTAGTTCTTAAAGTCTATTTTTTATTATTCATAAATTAGATCAATTGGCTATCGAGGTCAAAAGTTACATTTGAAATAATATGGTAGTATCAAATTTTTTTCTACCCGAATTATCTCTCAAAAGTATTTTAATTTTGGAATACTTTCAAACTTAATACACCTCATATCAGTTATTCAAAGATTTCTCGATCTCCGAGATTCATTTTTAATGTTATTTTGACATAAAAATTTTTAGAATTTTACTTAGTCAGCTCCACTTAAGAGTGGTTACCCTGTAATATCAAGTCACTTGAGAGTCTTCACAGTTCCTAAACTCTCCATCTTACAATAATCTATTTTATATTTAATTTATTTTGTATTAATCCAATTCATAATAATCTAATATAATTTAGAATAAATACGTGATGCCCCACAATTTTAATATATAAACTCTAACCTTAAGGCCAACTTATTCAATCGAGCAATGCAATAAGGACCTAATTCAATGTAACTATTAGATTAATTGTGAGTTTCAATGTCAAGTAAATTTCAATCCAATGGTTATATTGAATTAAGTTCTCAAATTAGATTCAAATTACATTTTTCTATTCAAAGTAAATCCCTTAATTAGACCAGGTTATGATTCAATGACTCCTTTTCTTTAGAATTATTGGGGGATTTGAATTGAGAGATTAATTGAAATAGAAGTTAAAGTTTAACAACTTGTTTGTTTTAATTCATAGTTTGGTGGTAGAGTTTTTCGCTATCAGATAAGTGAGTTTCATCCATATTCAAGTGATAGAGATAGTACCACATTATTTAAGATAAAAAATTTAATAAAAAAATTTGATAAACATATCATTTTTCGATATGAAATGCATGGTGATAGATTTTTGAGTAAGCGCACACATCACGTTGCCGATAATTGATGGAGCAATTAATTGACGGGGTTAGATGTCCTTTTCGGGTCCCAATGCGGGTAACTCTATGGCCAAGATTTTTAGTTCGATTTTAATTTAGTTAGATATTGATTCACATAATTTTTTATAAAATGCATTATTGTAGTTCTTGAAGTCTATTTTTTATTGTTCAAATATCAAATCAATCGAGTATTGTAGTCAAAAGTTATGTTTGAAATAATAAGGTAATATCAAATTTATTTCTACCCGAATTGTCTCCAAAATATATTTTAACTTCAAAATACTTTTAAATATCTAATACACCTCATATAACTTATTCCAAAATTTCTCGATCTCCTATATTCATTTTTAATGTTATTTTGACTTAAAAACTTTTAGAATTTTACTTGGTCAATTCCTCTTAAGAGTGATTACCCAGTTATACCCAGTCACTCAAGAGTCTTCATAGTTCCTAAACTATCCATCTTACAATAATCTATTTATCTTTAATTCATTTTGTATTAATCGAAGACATAAAAATCTAATATAATTTAGAATAAATACATTAGGGCCCACTACTTTAATACATAAACTCTAACCTTAGTGCCAACTTATTCAATCGAGCAATGCAATAGAGACCTGATTCAATGCAACTATTAGATTAGTTGTGAGTTTCAATGTCAAGTGGGTTTCAATCCAATAGTTACATTGAATTAGGTCCCCAACTTAAATCCAAATTATATTTTTCTATTCAAAGTTAATCCCATAATTAGACCAGGTTATGCTTCAGTGACTCCTTTTCTTTAGAATTATTGAAGGATTTAAACTGAGAGATTTAATTGAAATAGAAGATAAAGTTTAACGACTTGTTTGGTTTAATTCATAGTTTGGGGCCAAATATAAATCAAGTGTAAAGTTTTGAGTATTTAAAATACAATTTACTCTAGATATAATCCCTCCCAGTAAAAAATCTAAGGTCAGCTGGGTACAGAAAGTTTTTGACATTATCCTTGATTTCAATCATTTTTAATTTTTTCTTGATCTCACTTGATGAACTTATAATGTGCAGGTAATGCTAACTATGGGCACAAACACATCATCTGTGATGCTAGAATGGGCAATGTCAGTTTTACTCAACCATCATGAAATATTGAAGAAGGTTATGACATAATTAGACACTCATGTGGGCTCTGATCGCTTGATAAATGAAGTAGGTTTCTCCAATTTGCATTACCTTCACAATATAATATCCAAGACCATTTGATTATTACCTGTAGCACCATTATTAGTGCCACACGAGTCGTCTGTTGACTGTACATTCGGGAGATACAACGTTCCACGCGGCACGATTTTATTAGTCAATGCGTGGGCAATTCATAGGGACCCTAAGGTGTGGGATGACCCAACAAGCTTCAAGCCTGAAAGGTTTGAAGGTGGGGAGGTTGAGGCACACAAACTTATGCCATTTGGAATGGGAAGGAGGTCCTGCCCAGGTGCTGGACTAGCTCAGAGAGTGGTAGGTTCAGCTTTGGGATCATTGATTCAATGCTTTGAGTGGGAGAGGATTAGTGTAGGGGAGGTTGATTTGGCTGAAGGAAATGGGCTCACCATGCCAAAAGCTAAGCCATTAGTGGCCATGTGTAGAGCTCGCAGCATTATGGACAAAGCACTTTCAGAAATTGAAAAAAATGTTTGAGAATTTCTTGAGGTATGTTAAGTGCATTACAATAAATCGTTCCCAACAAATCAGGTTATGCCTGAAATGGGATCTAAAAAATAGGAGTTACAGATAATTTTAACTTCTACCTTGAAAGAGGGACTATCCTCATGAGTGAATTATGAGTAAAATATTCAATGTGATACCAAATGTTATTGATGACATGATCGTGAATTATAATAAGCAGTCACGATGATATTGTGTTGTTGTAATTAATGTTGTACACATAATTAATGTTTCGCATTTATCTGCTATT